ACATTCCAGTTAATTTAGAGACCTTATGGTGCACACATAACAGAAACAATTTTTGGTAGGACCCTATATTAAAATAAAAACGCTTGTTAGTTTGCTATTCCGTAAGCTACGTGAAAAATATCTATTGCCTAGTAAGACCTGACTAAACCGTCCTGATTCAGTTCAATGAACCTCGCAGAAAAACTAGAGGACAACGGCCGTGACCTTCCTTCGCTTATCGATTTCAGTGTCGCCGACGGCCTTGACACTGCGACCCTGCATGTGTTCACTCCAGCATCGCAATCGAGTTTTTCTATGAATCGCTACTACGAACTGCATACAGAAATGAATCTCATTTCCGACAGGTATTGCGGGAAATTCGGGAAATGTACATGCTCTTTTTTGGGGAATGTTTGGAGTTGGTGACAACGTGTCGATTTCCAGATTCCATTTCAGATTTGGCAAAATTATCGTTTTGATCATTTGATGTACCGTTTTAAGGGGACATTATCAGTTTAACTTACTTTCTGCAGAAAAAAGAGGTATTGTGATGACAAATCGATACCAATCTAAAATATGGTTTTATGAAGCTCTCATCCATCCCTGACGATAGTATACTTGAGGATAACGCAGATTAACATTTAATCTGCCAGCTATCAATGGATCAAATCACCAAATGTGGTCCAGAGATTATTTATAGGTCAAGTTAAAGTTATTTCAATGTTAGAGCTTGCAAAGAATCAATCTGAAAGCATCCACGTGCAGTTTTTTGGGTCTTTAAGTCCAAATCTGGCATTTGTTCCACCCGGCGGGGTTATTTCAAAGTCACATTACGGTTATTCCGTAAAACTGACCGAATTTATTTGAAAGCCCCACATGTATGTCTTCGAGGACTTAAGGATCACACAGGTCAACATTTGATCCGCTATCACTGGATCCTATAGGGGTGTCTTAGATTTTTTGGGGTTGCTGACATCAAGCTCGGTTGATCTCTTTCACGTCAAGTTCAAAATCATTTCAACATTCAGTTCAAAGAAATTGCTTAAACATTTTTGAGAAATAATTATATTGTAGTCTCTTGGGTCAGCGAATTCAAAAGCCTAGAGATGTCGTCCGAAGATTACTTGAAGCCCAAATTGAAGTCATTTCAGGGTTAGAGTTTGCAAAGACTCCATTTGAAAATCTCGACGTGCAGGTTTTTTAGGTCTCCGAGTCCAGATCTGGTATTTGTTTTAACCGACGATGTGATCTAGAGGTTATTTCAAGGCCGCATTTGATTCATTCCGTAAAAGTGACCGAATCTATTTGAAAGCCCCATACGCAATTTTTCGTGGTTGCTGAATCTGAATGTAATATTTTTTCCACGCGGGGGTCAACCAGGAGCTACACCTATTTTTTTCAAAGAAAAGGGAAACCAACCCCCCTAGAGCATTTCGGTCCATTGGGGTAAGACTTCATAACCGTAATCCTTTTCCTAGACTGAATTAAAACCGCATCTGTCGACGATGAGGTTCACTGTCGATTCGGATTCCTCTCTCTCATCTTCATGGAAAATTGAATTTTGTAAGTCAATCAATGGGTCAACTCAATGTACATTTTTTAATGTTTCATTTATTCTTGGGGCGCAGATTAATCTCTATAGTCAGTGTCATTTTGTACATTGAAAAGGCCACTCATTTTGTAAAACGGATTAGCAAGCTGTTCGATGGTCTAAAATGCCCATTACAAGGCCTACCTAAGAAATACGTTGTTATTATAACAATAATTTTGGAATCAATTTTTAAACATGCATAACATTATTAGAAGCTTAAGATACAACCAAAACCAAAGTTTATATTTTTATTGGATATGGATTCTTCGAAGAACAATATTAAGTCCGTGAAAGGTGAGTATTTTAAATGTCAATAAAACATCTTGTATCTCGAAACACATCCAATAAAGATTTTTCTATCCCAGATTTTCCGAATTTTATACTGCACTTTTCAGAAAGCAGAAGCTTAATAATGCGGTTTGAAGTCTTTAGAACGATCCTGTTACCCGCAAAACGTATAAAACAGCTGCAGATTATTTAAAGACGGAGAGTTGCTTACAGACTTTACATCTTTACCTACCATGTTGTTATTGCATGCTTGTCCCCAAACAGTAGAATGTGTGTAGCGGTTACTGAGATTATGCGGTTTCAGGAACGCCATAGACTTAAAAGCAATTCGAAATAAGTGATTGTTCGCTTTTGATGTGGTAATCCGTACTTAAGGTATACTCGTATAGGTTGAATCACTACGAGTAGGTATAATATCATTCCCCTTAAGGTGAAATTTAAAAAATATTCACGAATCGACCTTTCGCAGAATCCAAGAATTGAAAACATTGATTTATAGCAAGCACGAATCGTAACAATGCGATACATAATGTAAGCTCGTTGTAATTATTGGTTGATAGAATCGGTAGTAGGTCATAGTCACGTCATTTCTCTCAGTTTCGTGGAATTTCCAGATACGGGTGACTAAGAGGGAGTTCCAGTACTTTCATATTGTTACCCTACTCCCCTGCGGAGTTTTTTCCCATTGACTGGAATGTTACAGGACGAAAGTGCTTTTGAAATTATTATGTTGTGTACGAGGGGTATGCGTTAACTATAATGCAGAGAAATATGTTTATTTGATTGTCGAGGATGCGTATTGGATTACTTGTCATTCTAAACATCGAAAGAAACTAGATAATTGGAAAAATAGTGAGGCTAGCGCTTTGTAGTATTGTACTGACTTGAAGCCTTAACTACGTTTACATAGACAAAGATTACTTGGTGACGTACGTACGAATGCTCAGACGAAGTAATAAATCAGTGGCGTCAAACCCTTACTAATGCTACGGGGAACATGAGGCTAAAGACTGTTTGGACTATTCCAAGATCATTCTGCCCTCCGACAATTTTATAGATACCTACCTCTTCGTTTCGGAAATATTTTATCCCTGAACGGCCCCACTGGATAACGGTTTATTTTAAACAACTTTATAATCCAAGGAAATTTTGATAGCACAGCAACTAGTTGACACTTTGCATTATGGTGTCTATGAAAAACAACTCATCTGGTTTATCTAGGACGAATTAGCCCTAACGCAGTATTGCTCATTTTTTACCTCCTGTATCTGAATCGTCTAAAAAAATGTGTTTGGTTTGGTTTTTGAGAAGATTAGTCTTGTTTCGAAGCTGCTTCTGTTTATTTTTAAACCAAAAATAATACGTGGAGCCTTAAAAATCAAAAATCGTTATCCACGGCTAAACTGGATCTAATCTGCGTTGACGTCTCTGGTTTAAGCTTAACCGGGATATGAAAAGCGTGAAGATTCCCTGCATAGCTGGGGCAGACCCTTAGTGTGATTGTGAGTACCAATGGCAGACAATATGTCATATATATAATAATAATAATACAAATAATTTTTATTGGAATATATATATACATAAAAAATATAAAAACGACAACATATCGTGGCAGAGTGTCCTAGATGTGCCAATAATGGTGACCAAATGGCTGCATTATTTAGACATAGATGTACACGGTGTTACAAGTCCCACCCTCATAATTGGGATCTCGATAACTATAAGAGATATGAAGTCGCTTTTCCCAAAATCGTTTTAATACTTCAATTGCATTGGGATTTCAAAATAAATTGGACACAAACATTGCCACTTTCTCTTTTCTACAAGATGACAATTAGAATTTCAATAGGACGTTTCGGCTTTTGTGCTCCAGAGTCAACTATATTTTTTCTTGTGGATGCCATATTGGATTTTTACGCAGATGAATGGAGTTTTTATATCTGACTTCAAAATGTATAATATGTCATACATTGACATTACCAAACCTTAGCTGTTCCAGAAAAACAGAATTTCCTAGGTAGCCCTTGAAATTATCCGATTTCATTTGTTTTGTATGCGAGACCAGACCTCAGTTTGAACATAGTAACGGACTTTGGAAGACTGAGACGAAAAAGGAATAGATCGAGCAGTGAACAATGTACAGAGAAGATTCAAGCTTTGCCTACAAAATAACGACATTTTGGACATTCGCTATGATTTACCTCTGCTTATTACACCTTCTTCTTTTTTATAATTTTCATCCAACAACAAATATATGGCCAAATGAGCTAATACATCACTGAGCTTAGGACTGAAAATTCCATTTAAATGTACAAAATTAAAGTATAGAGTCCCTATGAAGAAACAAAGTTGGTGAGGTCGAAAGAAAAAATGTCAAATTGAAAATTTGACTTTCTCCATCTTGGAGAGCAGATTAAGTAACAATGTCAACATGCAGTTTATTTTGAAATCGCATCTCTAATAAGGTCAGGAAAAAGTGAAATTGATTTTGAGATAAACCTAGTATGCTAAACAAATGACATTCTGTTAATTTCAAGACCTACCTAGGAAATTCGGCTTTTTAGAAATAGCTACAGGTTTTTCAATGTCAGTGTATGACGTGTTATATATTTTGAGAATCAGAGTTAAAAACTCTATTCACCAATCCAACATGGCGACATAATCATACCATCTTGTAGAGGAGAAAAAGTGACAAGGCTGAAGTTCACGTTATTTTAAAATCCCGCTAGAAAAAATGTCAGAAGAGTATTAGAACGATTTTAAGAAAATTCTGTCTTTCCGTCTCTCTCGAAAAGTGTACTTCGAATGTCGAAACTGTCTAACCGGCGTTTTTTTTATTACAAAAATATGCAACTTTACTCCCATTTAAGCGTCTTCGTATCTCTTACAGTTTCCCTGATCTCAATGGTGAGGGTCGAATTTGAAACACCCTGTATAGTTTGTGCTTTTTTGTTTGTTTTATTTTGTTCGTTCTCCTTTGTTTTGACATTTACTTTTTGTGTCATTATTGTCTTGTGCAGTAAGTGAGTGACGTTCTGTAAACTCTACGCTAAATAAATAGTATCCTTAAAACTCGCTTAATGGCAACTTCAACAAGATCCTCTACTTTCAAGTTTTAATATTTATTTTGAAATGATTACAGGATGAGTTTCAGAACCACCATAAATATCTTCCTGCTTACAGAGAGACAAAAATACCCGTAGGATGAGAATCTTAAGCATTTGGAGCGAACAAACTGGAACATGAACAGGAAGCTGAAGGCGGTAGTGCAACAAACTGCAGCGAAGCTCCTTCTTTACAGACCGGAATTACACTTCAAGTAGAAGAGAACGGCAATAATAGACATACTTTAATTGGAACAAAAATTGGAAAACGATAATAGAACACGTAATTGGTGGATAAGCTTGATACTAAAAGTGCTCTTAACACAACTGTCTCAACTGTTGCTGTTAATTTCTTGAGTAAATGAAGTCTGAAGTCATCTTTCCTGTTTATATTTCGAATCTGCCACGCCTGCCAAGATTTTAATTTCTTCTAATTATTTGGCTATGCGATCAGACATGTGACTTATTTAAGTTACAAGTATCCGAAGCACAGAAACAAAATACCTCTTTTCATCTTGTGTCTAAGATACTTTTTTAAAATTGTATTTTGTATCTTGTAATGACATATATTTCGTTTGGTATATTAGTATTTAGCAAATACTATATTTGCTAAAATACGTTCATTTATATAGTTACTTTTGCATTTCCTATTACAACACGTCCTTGAAACTTTAATTTGGGCAAAGAATTATCCTGACTGAAGCATGAAAAAATAATCGTTCTGATAGAGAAAAGCCATTTGCTTTAGAGAATATTAGAAGCGATATAAAAAAAGAAGTCCCAATAATCTATTTACTTGTTCTTAGAGAACTTTGATCCCTCTATTGCAGGTGACCAAGGCAATGAAAACGCCGGGTCTACTGGTTGTACCGCTAACTAAAAAACACCGCAATACGTGGATAATAAGTCTTTATTATCTTGTATCTTTACAAAGATAACGCTACTTGCATGCCAATTTCGACACCTGTCGAGCGACCCTTATATTAGTATGATAATAAGGCCCCATCAAAGAAAAATAAGTTTCAAAATGTTTGAAGACTGGTTCTGCTTGTCTCAATTAAAACCTTGAAAGTACGATATTTTGTCACATTTGCCCAATCAACCCGTAAATAAGTATTCATGTAAACTCAATAAAATGCATTGTTGATACAAAAGCGTTTTACCTTTAAAAAGCAACGAATACTATGTTTAGGATATCTTGTACATCACTACATGCGACTGAATTGATCTCACACGCTACAGGTTCAGCCGACCCAGATGTAGATTGTTTGGTTCAAGGGTATTAGCTCTATCACTAATCTAATAATAATTACAAAGGTCAATGGAAATTCAGATTAGTGGGTAATATAAAATAATTATCTACCTATATTTGGACGGTTATTAGTATCTATTTAAGGGCCGTGCCTCTTGGAAATTCCAAGCAACAGTTGCAGTAATGGACAACCGATTCAGGTAACGTTTCAGGAAATTTCCACCAGTAAGGCCCATGTATATGTTTAACCTACATAGTGTCCCAAAGAAAATAAAAAGCAGTTGTATAACTGTGAAAGATTTTCAAAAACTTTTCTTGCAGCAAGATTGATATCTCATAGGTATGTATGGGGACGTTCAAGTATTACGTGAGCACTAGGGGGAGGGGGGCGGTTGGTCTTTGCTTTGCTTATTTTGGATGACATGGGGGGTAGGGGAGTGTAGATGATGATTACGTCATCGGTAGTTATTTACTTTTTACACGAATGGCAACCCTCACATTGTCTTTGCTTGAAAACGAAACGCATTTTCGGGGATTCCCGCAAATAATGCATACGTTTAGTGAACAGCGCGCGGTAATTCCCCTACTCGCTTTAGAACCGAGACTTGTATAAATTTCCTCTATCAGTGTATTGTTTCGTTTGGACACTATAGCGACTAGAGGTATTGTAAGCACAGTAAAGCAAGTTAACATTTGTGTTACCATTGATTCCATTAGCCAAAGTTTAATGTTTAGATAAGATGTCGTTTCACATAGACAAATCCAAGTTATACCAAAAATTGTTTGAAAGTTTTAAAAAATCTCATACGTACAAAAGTACAAAATGTACAAAAGTTAGTTAACTCAGTGAGGCGAAATTACAAATTACAAGCAAAATCCGACAAGGAACTAGATATTATTGTATCTAAGAGAATCAAAGAAGAATTGCAAGCGTCGACTAAGAATAAATCCAATCTAATAAATTTTTTTCTAAGGTGGGTGACGAAATCGTTTTAGGTACTAGAAATATTAGAAACCGCCAAAAAGTTTCTCTTCACTGATTAGAAAATATTGTGGCCTATCTCAAAGTATAGATGTAATATTCATTATATTATAGGTTTATTTCTTATGATTGATTCCGTCAATTGGTTACAAAGTACAAGATGTTAGTTTTATACGTATACACAGAGAATTCAAACCCTGTATTTTGTGACCGGAACGAATTGCTCGTTTAAACATATTAGTTTTAAAGCCATAGGGTTTTGTAGTTACCATATGTATTGCCATACTTTGTATTTAAGTAAGAGAATCTTTAGCAGCAGCCATAGAAAGTTTTTATTTTTAGGCAATCTGTAAACCTGCAGAAAAAACACAAATTATACAGTCAGCTTCAAATATTAAAAAAGAGGAAGGAGGTAAAATAAAACCCGGTAATGAATCACAACAGCAATGCGAAATTAATGAAAATACAGCTAAACAGAGAGCAAAACCTTCTCAGGAAGCTATGAAAAATAAGATTGCTCTACTCGAAAAAATCTGAATTCTTTGTATTCTGCCAGAGATACTATACCAAGCCGTGCTGAAGTTGATAAACAGATCATTAAGTTGCGCGAGGAAATAAAAACAGCAAAATAGTCTTTAAACAGGAAGGTTCAAAACGCAGTTGCCCAGAAGAAACACAGGGATGGTATGAAAAGAAAGTTAGTAGATATTTGTCATGAAAATCCAGAAATAAAAAAAGACTATCTCTGAGGGATTCAGTGGGACGTCCTAATCTTGAAAGCAATCAACATTCACTATTGAAAACAACTGTAAGAGTCGCTGCTCGTCGTGCTAATGAACTGATGTGCATTAATTTAAAATTTAGAGCACCATGATGTTGAATGGCTCGATGAGAACGACGTAGACATTCCAAAATCCGATGAAAGCGAGCAAACTCACAACACTGGGCAGCAATCGAAGCAATCCAATGTCATCTAAAACTTAGAATGATGGATTCGGGTTTCATGGACTGAAGACCTAATTTGCATTTAATATATGTACCAAAAATTTAAAATAAGTTTGTTATGTTAGTAAGATATAATATTTTTGTCCTTTACTCTAGTTGAATACCGTATCAGTAAAATATAATCTCTATCATAAATAAACCTATATTCTTATTTTTCAAATTATAATTATAACGTTATAATTATAATATTAAAAAAAACAATAACTTAATTGACAAATGTTTACGTAAGCATGGGGGAAGGGGATAAGAGCTTTGCTTACTTTTGCTGGCAAGGGGGATGGGGGGTAAATAATTGTAATAAATCTACTTACATAATACTTGAACGGCCCCTATCTCTAAATTATTTTGCAATGTACAAGTTGTTGCACAATTCCGTGGCGCAACAACCTGTTTTTTTATTGTGACACCCTCTATTTTATTAGATATTCGGCAAGATACTATCTACTATAGGTTCAGATTCGACAGCACCTAGAGGCAACAGTGGTGACCCGCACAGGTATTACGTATCTTGAATACTTATTGTCAGTTTTTTTTGACGTCTTGTAGGTTTTTTGTGACATCACGTAGCTTTTTCCACAAGATGTTAACTTAGCACTAGCCGCTGTACACTTGCTGTGGTCTCGTTTTGCAGCTGTACGTGTTGACTAAACGTTATGATGCCTTAGTTATCAATGTTTGGCTCTGATGTGATGTAATCTGCTTCAGAGATGCCATTATTGAAGGTCTAAGCTGTATGTATACTATGGCTGGAAGGAAACAGCAGTGCATAGGTACATGGTGGGGATTTCTGTGCTAATAATATGTGTTGATGATAATTCCATTGGTTTCTTGTCTCAAATACACATACTTGAGATGCATTCAAAGCTAGAAATTAGCTACTCATCCACTTTTTATTATTCATTCTGGAAATTACATATGCAAATTTGCTGAATTTAAAGGATGAGAGAGATAAGAAAATAAAATATCAGGTTGGTGAAGTATATTATAAGTAAAAGGTGAGAAAATATGCTACAGACAGGAATATTTATGAAACGTAAAAAAATATTACATTATTGGCCCGAGTAAAGATAACATGGCCACGAAAGACAACTGTTGAAATATAGTCTAGACTATCCGTAGCATAATTTTCCCGAAATCATTGCACAACACTTAAAAAAATGCAAATGAAAATTGGCAAATTGACGCTTTGACTTTAGAAATGGGTCCGTCGGAACTCCAGGCTAGACATAAATTTTGGCAGCTGACCTCGTTATTCTTGTCACCTGAAATGCAGGAATATTTATCGGAATCACCTTTGGCTATTTGGCAATCATTATTACGCCTCAAATCTGATAATTCCCCATTGGTATTCCTCAATATTTTATTCAAAGCCTCTTTTTTAACGTTCTAACAGACGGAGCCATTTCGAACGTCAAAGCGTCAATTTTGCAATTCTCATTTGCATTGTTTTAAGACTCGTGCAATGATTTCCCGAAAAAAAATAGCTGCTCATCCACTTTTAGTCTTGTAGAGCCTAGTAAAGTATATTTCAACAGTAGTCTCGCGTGGCCATGTTATCGTTACTCGGGCCACATATAAATAACCCGTCGAGCACAGCTAATAGATATATTTCATTGACAGCATATTCAGTAATAACTTTCTCACATAGCAAATATCACAGATTTGGTACACATGCAGACCAATACACATAATCATCCAGATGAAGTCCTGCTACTCAACCACCTTTCTTTCTTTCACATCTTCTCAGAGATAAACACTACAGACTACTCGGCTTTCTGCAACCAACAAGCAACCAACAATGCCGTGTCGTTGAGTCATTCCTCGATAGATGGAAGCTTTTGGTGACACTCACACTGATTACAGCTAGAAAACGTGGAACGAACTATTTGCACACTAAGGACTATCTAGTCGGCAAAATGACATTTCGTCGTTTTTTTTCTTTTTTTACGTATTTTAGGTTTTTTAATATAATTTTCATTTAATATATTTATAATACCCCTGCCGGTTGACAATGCGAACGCATACAGTTCCAATAGTCAGCTTGATGTTTTCACTTTCGCAGTGATCGGTTCTGGTGATAGATCGCACGTTGTGTTGTCTTACGAGTATTTCAGTATTTTTAACCTACACGCTGTCCCGTTGAAAATAGGTAGTTTTATAGAAAAACTATAGAAGATATTCAAAAACGTTTGTTGCAGCAAGACTAACATCTCACATGTGTGAATTTCTAAATTATTCGGAAATATACAGAATGCTGTACAATTCCGTAGTGCATTAAACACGTTTTCTTAATGGAGCACCCTCTATTTTATTAGATATCTAGAAGGACCTTCCCAGAAGAAGAAGATTGATATATCACAGAATAGGGTTTTGGTCATCGTTTGTTCAGTTATTCTTTTATTCGTATCAAAAAATGGCCATCTTTGAACGATTTGAACTTCGCCATCTTGCATAGCTTTTCATTGAACCTTTGGACGGAAAAGTACGCAAGATTTAAGCTCAACCATCGAAAAGACAGACAATATGAGTTTTGCAAAACGCAAAAAAAAAAATTAATTGATAAAGCATATTTTTAAGTAATCAGATTCGCCATTTTATAAGCTTTCCTCTGATGTCTCGAGGCGAGAAAACAACAACAGATTGATCTAGCTCGCTCCACATCTTCCGTAAAAATGAAAAAGGTATTAAATGGTTTGACATATTTGGGTATGTTGTCTGTAATAATAATAAGTTCTAATCTGCATTTAACTACATCGAACTATGTCAAAATGAATGAATGTTCTTTATTTTGGTTGGGTAAGTAAAAAAGGCCCCTAAAAATGCTTGCCCATTGAAGGGAAATGAAGAGAATAAAAGTGAAACTGTTCCAGTGGGTTCCTTAATACACAATCAAATAGGGGTCCGCGAAATGACGTGACGCTTAACGCGTGTAAATGATAATTGTTACCAATCTTCGCTTCGCGTCGCTTTGCCTCCGTGGCCGTGCAACTTAAGTCATTTTTTATATTTTTCTGATGATATTACAGCGTACGAGGCAAACGCAAAGCATTATGAAACTGCTTGAATGATTCAAAAACTACAAATAATATGTACTCGTAATAGGTCGGCTGTATTTCGGCAACCGCTGAACCCAGAGCTATCGGTTAAGAAATTGCTGTAAAATATTTCCAGCTCGATAGAATAGCCGTCAGATGACATCATTCCAATTTCAAAAGCTCAAACGCCATTTTGCAAAATTCCATAATTAACACATTCGTTAGGCCTTACCATATTTATGTCTTAATTTCTTGTTTATGTAATTTTCTATATTCTGGTTAGATTAAAGTGGAGGAAGGGTTGAATGCCATTTCAGAAAAAGTTTCATAACATGCTCGGCTGTACCGATTTTGATAATCTTTGTTTCGTTTGCACGGGAAATTTACATACGTTCCTAATGCTCAACCATGTCAGATTAGGTCAGTTTGTCGACGAGAGATGGCGCTTTGTGGATGTGCGAATATATTTTAGGATTTTCTCGAAAATTTTATATATAGTGCTACTGTTTTCTTGTATTGATCCGAAAGTGCATAATAAATCCTATGAAATGGTTAAAATCGAGATCAATATCCTTATTGATTATGGGGGTAAATTAAGAAATATGCTCGAATTACAACTTCTAAGTACTATTGGACAAAAAGAAGGTGAACAGTTGGGTAAAGTGTACCAATAAGAGACGATTTTGAGATACTTAAAAACTATTTTATCTTAGTTGGCTTTACAATATGAGCAATTCATGAAGTGCAAGTTGCAATGCAGTTGTCCTATTTAGACTCGCTAATAGTGTGGATTATGAGATATATTACATCTATTGAAATATTATTGCGGATATTTCGTTTAATTAATTAATCATTGATAGAATCTAGTGTGGCACGTCATGACATTATAGATCAGAAGCAAAATAATAAACTGATTTGTCAATGAATATTTTTCTTAAAAGATGTATGCGGCTCTAAAAAGAAGCTATTTGATTTCTCAGCGAATTCCGCAGCAGGAATTTGATGGTTAGCGCCCAATCGTATGTTGCCATGTAGTAGGCCGTGCTTTAAAAACAATATCTGTAATTCTGTCCGATAAATAAAAATCTAAGCAGGTCAGGTCAGGGTATCTTATCATAAAATCATAAAGTTTGTACTACTTTAAAAATATTCGTAGCCCCACAAATTACCTAGCTGGACAAGGAAGTACACTTCCTCTTCCAATCAACCTACCCGGAAACGATATGCCCAGGCATTGGCGGACGTTTGATGGATAATGGTCTGGACGGACATCATGTTGGAAGATCTGGTTATGACGAACTTCCAATGGAACGTCTTCCAGCAACACAGGCAATATGTTCACTAGGAAACTTAAATACTCACAGGCTCGTTGGATACGTAATATTCGATGATTCTACTCCCCAATATGTCATAGCACAGTTACATTCCATCGACCTTGATGTTGGACACCCAGCATCCAATGTGGGTTCGTGGTTCTCCAGTATGCATGTTATGCAAGTTGACATTTCCATTATTTTTGAATGTAGCTTCATCAGTCCGAAAAATATCTAAAGCTATGTTTGGATTATCGGCAAGCATACCTAAAAACCAGTGACTGTAATTGAGTTTAATAAGGACAATTGAGGTTGCATCCATATCCAAATCTGATGGACATATGTTTTCACTTCGGTGTTTTCAAGCGCACCCATTTTTACCTGATAGCCTGAAGTCCATAAGCAGAAACGTACGTCGCTCGAGTTACCAATCCCTTTATTTCTGCTATTTTTTTGTTGCGGACATGCCCCCATGGGGTACCCTCTGTTGTTCATCTGAGTTTCCGCAAGACTTCTTGGCTTCCTTTGTTGAATGTACCATCAACCTTGTTACTGGGTTAATGCTTGATTCACCACCAAATAATGAGAGTGAAGCCTGAAACCAGCATAATGACCTTAGTTTCACAGTTGTCTTAGTCATGCCTAAGTCTCTAGAGATATCTCTAGTGCTGGAATGGTCGCTATTCTCCACGTAGCCTAACACCGCCATTACATCTTCCACGCTACGTGTTTTCCTTTTCCTGTCAATAGTGGGACTGCGGATACTCCCCGTACTCCTCAATCGCTGGGCAAGTCTGGTAAATACTCGCTTATCGTAGCGACGCCTATGCGGATATCGTACAGCATAAGCCCTAACAGCAACAGTTGCATTTTGCACGTATTCGAAATACACAGCAAGCACGTAAGAAGATACTTCGTTCTTAAGGGGTAGTTTGAAAATTTCGAACGACGCGACCTCAACTTTACACTAATTTATTGTAGTTTATTCTTCTGTTTCTGTGCTAGAATCGCATAACATGGCACACAAGATTTCATTGACGGAATAACTGCTATAATATTACAATAGATGTAACATGTTTAATGATTCGCACCCTTATTGGATCTATGTACATAGGAATAATAAAGTTTTAAGAAACTAATAAAAACACGCTTTTATAGCTAACCGAACTAAGAAGTAGATGATAATTTTTAATGACAAAGAGTTTATATTACAGTAGTAGATGGTGGAACAATCAATCATAATTAATGACCTCTTAATTATGGTTGATTGCTCGACCATCTACTACTGTAATATAAACTGTTTGTAGCTAAAAATTATTTTCTACTTTTTAGTTCGGTTAGCTATAACAGCGTGTTTATTTTTTTAATTTTTTTAACTAATTAATTTTAACTATATATTTTCATTTTTTAGTCCGATTTATTAATTAGTTTTTTGTAGACATGTGGTATTGAAATGTCTTACAAATCATTTCGTAATCTAATCATTTCATTTAAAGCTTCACTGTTGCATGGGGTATTTCCTGTTGACTTAGAGCAACTAAGTTCTTCAACCCGAATACCGTATAAAGATCTTACATGACTTAGTGCTACATAAGCTTGTCCAGCAGCAAACAGTCAACCTTGCATCTTGTGGACGGTCAAAGCCCAACTCAGGATTAATGGCAACATTCGGAATAAACAAGGTAAGAATGCACTACCTTGAAAAAGTATCTGCCTCCGTTATGCTGTGCCGAGTACAATGAAGAGTAAGTCCGAAACTGCACGCATGCGCATATCGCGCGCTAGCTCTATCCCTCTTACTCCCCTACCGAGGATCTATAAAATAATTTATCAATCCTGGCAGTAATGATAAGGATAATGAAAACTGTTATCAAATTATTGTATTGTCATCGTTCCTTGGTACGTGTGCGAAGTTTCGAATTAATCAAACTCCTGGAAATTAGTGAAAATTATACTCAAAGGCTCCATTACATACATACATACAGGTCAAGCTAATAGAAACGTGTTAAAAGAAAATTAAAAAAAGGTATACCACCATCTGCCTCCTGTGAGGATTGAACTCACGAACCCTGATTTACAAGACCAGTGCTCTGTCACTGAGCTACAGAGGCTTGTAGTGTGGCTTTTTATTAAAATATAATATAATTTTACTTATAAGGATAATGCAAAACTGTTATCAAATTATTGCATTGCCATCGGTCCTTGATACGTGTGCGAAGTTTCAAATTAATCAAACTTCTGTAAATTGGTGAAAATTATGGTCGAAAAAAGAGTCGGTTATATACATACAGGCCAAGCTAATAAAAGCGTGTTAAAAAGTAAGAACACAGTATTTCCCTAAATTTTTATATTTCAAGGACAACTGAGATAAAATATCAGGTAAAATTAAATATTGAATGTGTTTTTCATTTATCAGACGATAACTACGCCACTTAGCGGTTATGAAAAAGCATAGTAAAACATCTTCAAATCGTGTCATATCTGTATGTTCTACACAACTATCCAACATAAATAGTTCTTCTTATCCAACAGCACTTGAAAATTGTATTTCATGCCTATTTCTCAATATATCCCCATAACAAATAAAAATATTGATCTGCTGCTTCCATCGTTGTATAGGACTTTTTATGCGGCTTTCAGTCAATATAAAAAGTATATCGTATTCAAAATGTTTTGAAAATTACAAAAAAATCCACTGACACATCCGCAAAGCGCCATTTAGCGGACATAAACTGCACTATGTGGCAATCAGTATGAGCGCACGTGAATACCCTTTCAAACGAAAGCAATATCATCAAAATCGGTGCAGCCAAACAGAAGTTATGTGACTTTTTCTGAAATAACATTTGGCGCTTCCTTCACCTTAAGCTAATGAAAATATGAAAATGACTTGAACAAAAAAAGTTCGGATATTGAGCGGTCAGTACTATAAGGTAATTTGATGAGTATGATAATTTGAATGTTTGAAATTGGAATGCCGCCAACTAGCTGAAAATAATCTTTATTATAAATTTATTATAAATTATTTCAACAGGCTTTTTTATTTTCTTTTATTATAGGCCCAGCCGGTAGAACACCTTTACTACAAACATTTTTTTTTTTATATCGAAACAGCCGCGCAGGCAGAAGCCTAAATGCCGGAACACCGCGGCTGCTATGATGATCCCAAAGAAATTTTGTTAATACGATTTTTGAACTGCCTAAGGTTAGTAGAACTGGGAAAAGCTTCCTCCCGTAGATTGTTCCACAATCTAGACACCCTCGGGACAAAGGAGCGGTCGTATCGGCCAGTTCTGGATGTACGAAGTTTGACACGGTTAGGATGGGACGAAGAAGTCAGGCGGGTCTGTCTGGCAGGCACATCGCGCGGCGGCATCATAGAAGAGAGCTCTGAGGAGCAAAGCCCGTTGGTGTAGCGATAGAAAAGAGCTAGATCGCCGACGGCCCGCCGGTGCGAAAGAGTCCCGAGACTGTCTGTTAGAGAAGAGTCATCGATCAGTCGGACCGCCCTCCTCTGGACAGCAACGAGCATGGACAATGTAGTCGGGGCGGCAGCACCCCAAATGTGTGAGCAATACTCGAGGCTAGGCCTTATCTGGGCCTTGTATAGAGTGAGAAGGTCATGCGGAGAAAAGTACTTCTTAGCCCTAAACAAATAGCCTAGCTTTTTCCCAGCAGCTGCAGCTATTGAAGAGATGTGTTCGTGCCAGATCAGGTCCTCGGTGATCTGGACTCCGACCAGCAGAAATGAATGGCTCTTTGGTAGGACTCGACCGTCCATCGAAACTGTATGAGCGCTAGGACGCTTTTTGTTCGTCAAAGTACAGTACTGTGTTTTGGAAGCATTGAACTGTACAAGATTGTTGCGTCCCCAAGCAGTGATAGCCTCCAGGTCTCTTGTCAGAGAAGAAGTCGTCGCTAGTCTTCTTTTTTCCAGCTCAGCGGCAGAGATCGGCTTGTCACTCTGAATTCCTGCATGTAGAGTGCTGTCATCAGCGAAGCTGTGGATTGGGTTGATCGTGCAGGAAAGGAGGTCGTTGATATGTAAGAGAAACAGTGTTGGAGCCAAGACCGATCCCTGGGGAACACCCGCGTTGACGTTGTGGGATGAAGAGGAGAATCCGTCAATTACGACGGATATCTTACGGCCAGAGATAAAGTCAGCCACCCATCTGCAAAGCTTTTCTGGGAGGCCGTAGGATGGAAGTTTGCTTAAGAGGGCAGCGTGCCACAGCTGATCGAACGCTTTCGTGATGTCAAGAGCAACGACATGAGCCTCACCATGAGACTGGATGAGTTTACTCCACAGTTGCGTAACGTAAGCTAGGAGGTCCCCTGTGGATCGTTGGTGCCGGAAACCGTACTGCCTGTCGCTAATCAAGCTGTGACGCTCGAGGTAGTCCAGAAGCTCGCGATTTATGCACCTCTCCATCACTTTACTTATAACAGAAAGCAGAGCTATAGGCCTGTAGTTGTAGGGGTCGGTTTTAGATCCTTTTTTTGGGATGGGCTGTACATGAGCAAATTTCCAGTTTTCTGGGAAGGTGCCGGATTCATAAGATATCTGGAAGAGACGCGAAAGAACTGGAGCAAGCTCCGCTGCACATCTCTTCAGTACAATGGCAGGAATCAAGTCCGGACCAGAAGCTTTGTTGATGTCGAGCGACAAGGGCACTCGTCTTACGGTCTTATGCCTGAATGTTACCTCCCGCATAGTGTGGGGAACCCTTTGAATTGACGGCACTTGGGCGTTGGAGGGGACGTCCATGGTGGAGTTGGCAGCAAAGATCTTGGCTAGCACTTCCGCCTTGGCCTTTGAGTCGAATACAATAGTTCCATCCTGACACGTAAGTGGTGGAAGGCTACTGTGTGAGAAGTTCTTTTCAATCTGATTGGCCAGCGTCCAGAAAGACCGACTGCCATTGCGCTGCGACATTACCCTGTGCCTAACTTTTATATCATGCTGGTTTTTGGCATTGCGAACCGCTTCGTTATATTTGTTTCTGGACTCGACGTCGGCTTGTCTGTTCTCTACAGTGGGGTTTTGTAAGTAGGTTCTGTGGGCCTTGATCTTCTGCTGGCGAGCAGTGTCACACGATTTGTTGAACCAGCCGTTGGACCCTGGTTTAGGAACTTTCACTGTGTGAGGGATGTATTCCTCCATTCCGACGTGGATAATTTCGGTTATTGAAGAACAGACAGTCGACGCATCCGCGTCAGTGGAACAGGCATCTCTCCAAGGAAAGCTAGAGAAGAAGTCTCTGAGCCCCTCCCAGTCGGCATGTCCGTAATGCCAAGTTTTGCGGCCTGTGCGAGTTTCTGCTGCCACAGCGGCTTCGGACCGAAACCTAACCTCCACAACACCGTGATCTGAGTTACCCAGGGGGGCAGGACAGCAGTGCTGTAAGGGGCAGGATGCGTGGTCAGAAAGAGATCCAGCAGGCTACTGGCGTGTGACGAGACGCGGGGGAAAAAAGTAGGGCTCGTCACCAGCTGGGTCAGCCCTTGAGTAAGAGCGAACGCTTCGACTGCACGACCTGCTGCATCGGTCTTATTTGAGCCCAACCAAAGCTCATTATGGGCATTGAAATCACCGAGAAGAACTACCTCTGAAGCGGGGTGATTGATGTTCAGGAAGTCGATCTGGACGGCGAGGTATTCGAGTAGGTCATCCCAGTTATGGTTCGAGGGAGAGCGATAAAGGCAGCAAATAAATTTGGGTGATGTTTTCGAGTTGAGGCGAAGCCACAGAATGTCCTTCCGGTCTGATTCCAAAGAAAGATCCCTGGAGCAGGAAAGACTGCTGCGGGCAAAAGCCACAACTCCCCCGTTCTTTCTCAGATTGGAATGCACCTCGTAGTTTGGGAAGTTGAGATGGTTAATCGGTGCAGTCTCTGAGATTTTTGTCTCCGCCAAGAAAAGCACGGCGGGACGATTGGATTGCAGGTAGTGATGAACAGCATCAATGTTGCTGTTGATCCCGCAGATGTTCGAAAAACAAATTTTATCTGCGATGTTGTTCCCTCGAGCCCACCCTCCACCCGGACATTCCGAGAGCTGAAATTCAGCATTCTCTTAACATGGTCTGAATATTTTCTCAGCTGGATTAACACCAACTAACGACAACATGCCCAAAAGCGAGATTGTACAGGTCTGTATGTTCCTCAATGGCCTTGGAATAATCTAACAAAATAAATGATTATTTTTATAGAAAGAAGTGCACATACTTTCATCAATTCTTTATTCGCTGGAAGTACTTGAATCATCGTCGGAATGGTTAATATTAATTATTACAGGATCAATTTGAATATCGGTCAAATTGTCCAGATCCCACATCTTTGTTTCGATTGTCCCTTGAACGTGACGGATGCAATATTTCCAATAGTTTGCGTGTCACTCTGTTAGCAGCTTGATGAAACAAATTTTTCACGTCAGAAAATTTGAATATTCTATTGTTTAAAGCCACAGTTTTTTATTTTTGCCCAAAAGATTTCAATGGGATTTAATCCGGAGTGATAAGGGGGTAGCCTTGAAACGGTCTTATTTTGGTTTTTAGCCATTCCGTCAATATTTATATTTGTACTGCCTGACTAGAAGATGGATAAGTTCTGCCATATTTTCTTTGATACTAATGTCTTTTGATAGGAGCCAATGTTGAATTTCTGCTTTCGCTGTGGATATTGTGGGAATTTTTTCTAGTTATTTAGTGTGGTATGCAGCATTATCAAGTACAATGATGGCATTGTCGTCAAGCTTTGGGAGCGTTTCTTCAAATCATCGTTGGAATGAACTCCCGTCCATTTCTTCATGGTAATCGGTGGATTTCTTCGATTGAAATGTCCATAGGGCAGTGGGCACAAAGTCATCTCCACTGCAATGTGTGTATAAACACACGTTATGTTTGCACAATATGAACAGCAACTGCCGGCGTCGGCGTGCCGGCGATATCCCGAGCGTGAGTTCTATCCTGTCGAATCCTGCACTAACTTGTTCGTAGTTTTATGGCCGAATGAACGCTTGGGCGGCTGCCGCTTTGCAGCGCTGCATCTTTGTTGTGCCTGGGCGTAGATGTACTACGAATAGGGTATAGCTGTATATATCGAAGGCATAGAACTGGCAACCTACCGAAGTAAGATCACTGTTCACCCGTAACTGTTGTTTAATATCAGCTCTCCTCAGGGTGTAAAGTGTTAGCCTTTTCTACAAAACATTTACTGAGATAAAGGTAAAAATGATATAGGGTTTTTCAAATTAGCAGCTCATAACTGATGTTATCCTTAACCTGTCACTCCAACTAATATAATCTTCTAAATAGGCTTGCTTGTTTAGGGATGTAATTCATTCATAGGTAACTATTTTGAAAACACTACACTTTAGACGAACTTTGTGCCGCACTGCGGGATATAAATGGTATGCTAATTCCTATTTATGTTTACAGGGGGCTAATAAAAGGTGAAAGGGTGGCAGCTACTGTTATAGTGCAATGGTGTATAAATATTGAGATTAAATAGTAATATAATAAGAATATTTCTTGGGCTTATTTGAATAAGAATATGGAAGTATGCACAGGTAGAAACCTGGTTTTCCTAAATTTACGTGTATAATTCCAGGTAGCAAGGTTTATGCTTTCAAGACTTACTGAGACTACCAAGTGGTTATTAATCACTACTTTTGACTAGTAACGAGCTGAAACTTACTAGTGTTGCTTATATTATTTTGATTGGGTTCGGGAATAGCTGTACGACCAATTATTAGAGCCTTAAGAACTCTTGTTTAGCTACTTCGAAGCTCATATCGTTACTCTGAGTTTGCGCAGTAGCTAGATGATCCTTCGTTCTCAGTAATCAAAATAAGAAGCTACGGAGCCTATATAACGGTATTTACTTAGAATAAGGGAAAGCTTATTTCCTAACGTTATTTTTTCTTTATTCAGCGCTGTTACCGTAAAAATACAAACATGAGTTTTAGATCACTGATAAAAATCAAAGTAAAAAGCAAAAAATTGTTACCTTTGTGTTCACTTGTTGTTCTGTAATCCTCTGAAGCATATTCGTTTCATGACCGGTTGGCAGGTAACACAAATATTACCGAAAATTTTTCATGAAAGAAACAAGTTCCGACAAATTTGGGGTTAGCTTCACGCAAAAATCAAAAACAAGCATTATTGTTTGTCACTGGTGAGTACGCTCAGTACTCTTAAATTACAACGGTTCACCTTAGTGGTCACGAAAATTTTCCGTTCTCCATTCTTCATTTTTGTTGAACTAGAAACTTTCTTTTGAATTGTCGGTTTTTCCAGCAAGTTCCATAGCATCATAATGGATATAAGCTAAACCCGCGGCTAGTGTTAACTATAGGTCATTCGTTATGTATCAGTGTGAGTGGGATTGGTTTCAGACAATGAAATATAATATATGCCATAATTACTTTGGCGACGGACGGATATTTTATCCATCATTTGAGAGCAGCAACAAATCAATTTCATTGTTTCCCTTCTTCACATATTCTACAAAAAGTAAGGAAATTGCTTGAAGAGTTATCTGATCCTAAAACGACCTTGAAGATCATAGGTTTATTGGAAAGGATGTGCTTGAACTTAAAATTGTCCGCAATTTGCCTTATACGAATTAATAATAGATATTGCCCGTAGAAAATTCATTTGATCTTTAAATTATCTTGATAGTCATGAACATCCTAGAACGTAACGTTTCTTGCTTTTTTTCCAGTGTCAAAGATATGGGTTTCCATTTAATAAACCCTCTTGACCTTCAAATGCGCTTGAAGGTCATAGTCAAGATCACGTTCAAGGTCGCCGTTAGATGAATCTTTTTAAACCTTATAGCTTTATTTTACATGTCCCACTATGAAACGCACTTTTCGAGACATTTTGTCCTTTCCCCATTTTCTGGACACCCTCAAATACCCATGAAGGTCGTGATTAAGGTCATGAGCAAAAATAAGCTTCAACGTAAGATTTTCCGTTTTTTACACTTCCGTTAACAAAAATTGGGAAAACTGTCTTGACCTTCAAATGTTACGTTCAAGATAACCGTTAAATTAATTTTTGGAAATATTCCAACTTTCTTCCACAATCTAATACTTCTCTAGTTAATGTATTTTTCGAGATATGACCTATCCATACTTTTTGAGCACCTTGTATATCTTCGCGGATGACTCCCCATGCCTATAGCCTTGATCGGGTTTCAATAAGTAAGTGTATATCTACAATTTTATGTCTCCTCGCATTGTGGTTCAGGTGCGATGTTGATAGACTATTAGATATAGATTGCTTACCTTACAGCCTTGTGAGTTACAGGGTGTGCGAATGGTGTAGTTGTCTGCAAAAAATAATCAACGCTTTAGTAAACGATGAAATAAAATAGAAGCGAAATTAATTTTGCATAGATATAACAAATCTATTGCTTCTCTCATAGATTTTCAGATTCAGATGACCCACTGAGGATTTCGCTGTCATGGTTTCTGTAAAAGGTCAACACTTCCCTGAAATGGCTTTTTGCATTAATACGACTTCCTGCTGATGACATATCCTCCATGTTCAGTCCCATAGAAGCGCTTTTTTAGCTAACCAGGTTCAGTTGCGATACCGAAGGTACACCCAAACAGTTGTTTGAACCCAGACAGGTATCATTTGAGCATCCTCGCTAAGATATCAGAGGGGACTTTCAGTACAAATGATAAGCCAGATGTACCGACCCGCATGTTTTCGAAAGCTTTTAGTACGGTTCTCGTGGATCAAGCGAGCATACGAGTGCTAGTCGCATCCAGAAGAAATGTATCTTCTTGTTCTTTTTGAGGTACCGCTTCAATTCCATAAAGGTTGGTGAAAATTCTACAATATGTTTCACATACTCGAGCTGCATGAATCAGAGAAAACAAATTCATATCGGACATATCGCAAATTTGTTTGAGCCACGAGTGTTTCCTTTGGCCAAGACCGCATTTACCATCTATCTTCCCATTATTTACCATTTGTAGGACGTTATACCTTTCGTTACGATATACTCGTAATCCCCCAAAAAGCTGCTATTTTTTGATAGCGATAAGTTCAATTCCCGTACGCTTTAACACCTCTTCTTTGGTCATTTTTATTTATTGCCACGCTCCTGATCCATAAAAAAGGGCAGAGTACAGGTATGCCTACATAGAACTCCATCTTAATTTGAGATTCAATGATGAGCTACGTAATAAGTTCATCATTCTCATGAACATCGATCTTGCTTGTTCTGTAGGTGCTGTACCTCAACGTCCAGATTCAAACTATTTGTGAGGTAGCTTGCAAGATATTTAAATCTATCAGTTGTGGATTTGATATTTTGGTAATAGCCATTAGTTGTGTTTTGTTACATTAATGTTCATGAATAGTAGATCACCGATTTCTGTAGCCCTGTTTAGGAGGCGCTTTAATGCTTTTGGATTGTCTCTAGTGGTAGCTCTGTCACCAGTATACCGAACACTGTCTGATACTCTACCGTTATTTTCTATTCCATCGATAACTCTGTAGCTGGAATTATATCATATCATGACCTACAGTTTGGCAGACGTTTCCAGATCTGCTTTCCAGTAAACCCATTTGAGTGACTCGGGTAATGTTCAGCACCAATGCCGTTCCCCTGCACGTTGTATTCCCGTGCATTATTTCTAGAGCAGTTCTGGAGCATATCACTCTCAAACTCATAATCATTTTTTAGCAAAAATCTACATTCATCTAGTTGAATTGATGCCTTCTCTACAAATATTATTTTTTTGACCCGGGCTTGCTTTAAAATGTTCATAAATTAATTGTTTCATCGAATTCAATGTTATTTTTTCTAATGTTGTAGCGAAATCTTCATGAAAGCTATTCTTATGAAACATTTTAGTAAAAAACAATAGTATTAAAGAATGAAATGGCTTAACTGGTCAGTAGGTGACTATAGGTGTTCAGACTGGACACCATTGGCTCTTGTGCATGCCCTGAATCTTTTTAATAAATCGAAATCGAATACCCCTTTTGCGTGATCTCTTCAATTTTTGCAAGTAACTTTGATAAATAAATAACGTCTACTTGATAGACCATATCATTAAGGTAACCCCAATAGAAGTCCATTCCACTTTCTTAGATAATTTTGATTTATGTGGCCTCGAACAGGCGGACTCTAGAGTGCTGATCAACCACCCTGCTCTTATCGGTATTGGCACATCTTCCAATAGATTAGTTAGCCGGTTGCTTAGGAAGTCTAGGTAAATTTCCTGCATTAATGTTCCTGGAAATTCGTATGAACCTTCCCAGTCCACAGATTTACTCTGAACTGCGGCTGGAAACTATCTTGACGTATTGCATGTGGATTCTCTCGCTTCATGTATGCAAATCCCGATGTAAATTGTGCATATGCAAGTACCCGTCTTTCCTGTACCAAGACTCGTCACTCCACTTTTTTTACACTGAAGCAAGCACGCAGGCAGAAGCCAGAATGCCAGGACAAAGCGGACGTTAGGGGAGGACCCATCAATTACGACGGATACCTTGCGGCCAGAGAAAGTCAGCCACTCACCTGCAAAGCTTCTCTGGGAAGCTATAGAATGGAAGTTTGCATAAGAGAGTAGCGTGCCTCAGCTGATCGAACACTTTTATATTAAGAGCAACGATACGAGCCTCACCATAGTACTGGATGAGTTTACTCCACAATTGCATGACGTAAGCTAGGAGGTCCCCTGTGGATCGCTAGTGCCTCTCCCTACTCAAGCCGTAACGTTCGAGGTAGACCAGAAGCTCGCGATCTAGGCACCTCTCCATCACCTTACGTATACCAGAAGGCAGAGATATAGTTCAGTAATTATAAGGATCGGTTCCATTTCCAGTTTTATGGGAAGGTGCCGGATTCTTAAGATATATGAAAGAGACGCGAAAGAACTAGAGCATGTTCCGCTGCACATCTCTTCAGTACAAGGGCAGAGATCAAGTCCGGACCAAAAGCTTTGCTGATGTCGAGCCACAAGAGCACCCGTCATACCGTCTTATGTCTAAATGTTACTTGCCGCATTGCGTAGGGAACCCTTTCGATCGACGGCACTCGGGCGTTGGGGTGCACGTCCATGGTGGAGTTGGCAGCAAAGACCTTGGCAAGCACTTCTCCCTTAACCTTTGAGTCAGTTACAATCGTTCCATCCTGGCACGTAAGTGGGGAAAAGCTACTGTGAGAAGTTCCTTTCAATCTGCTTGGCCAGGATCCAGAGACACCGACCGCCATCGCGTTGCGACATTACCCTGTGCGAGTTTACGTCCGGAATTCTGAGTACTCGAGGGATCCATCATCATTAATTTCTTTGTTTGGGAAGATGACCGACTGCGTACCTTAGGTGTGAAGACATTCAGACATTCTTAAGGCACTATGGAAAAAGCTCGCGGGTGGTACCGCCCCGATCGGCTGCTCCTTGTCTACCACCTTCTTTTTGCGTGCTAGTGATGTCAAATAGACCTAAAGTGGCTCGATGTCGGACTTGTACCGCCACCTGCAATTCTATATTTAGGTACTCCTTAACGCGTGTGCAATCACTTGAATGGGAAGAAGTTGTATACTGAATACAACAACTTCCTGAACAAGCATTTTGTCTCGGCCCCGCTCAGTAGGGTGTAATAAAAAATGTAAAACCTCCACCAATTTTTCTTAACATTGTCTGGCAATATTCTAAAAGTATGTATGGTTTCAAGATGTCATGGATAGTGTTTTTAGGAATTCCTATCATAGAAACGATTTTCCTACCTCACATTGTGTATTCACCAAGATCCCCGGATCAGAGACCATTGGGTTTTTTATTCGAATTGCCTGAGACATCGTGTATCATACAGAAATGGCCTCCATAAGACAGTTGCGTAGATCTGATCGGCCACCAAGGAAATTTTACACAGAGGATGCTCGCGCAAACTAAGGGGTTCCTCTATTACTAAAACAGTGGAGAGTCTGAATATCTGCACTACTAAATATAATAAAAAATATTATCATAAAGTCAATCCTGACATTACTATACGCTATAAAATAAGAATAAATCAACACTGATTCCAGTGAAAAAATCAACTGTAAGCGAGTGCCGGTTTTTGTTAAAAAAAAAATGATAGCTGTATATCTTGAAAACCATGAGACTTTAGACTAAACAAGGTTTTGCTAAGCAGTAGGTCATTATGTCATCTATTTCCTGTTCCAGGATGATACTTCAATTTCCGAACATCCTGTATTTTAAACAATATTGGCGATAATATACAGCCTTGTCATATCAATAGTGATTAGCTCTCGTGTTGATTGATCGACCTTGACTGCTGCTTCCTGGTTCCAATAAATTCGTTGTCATGTTTGTCTAACTCCTTTTTCTGCAGTGATTTCATAATGGTGGTTTGATTGACTTAGCCAAAGGTTTTTTCGTAATCTTTGCATTTCTGGAAAAGTGTTGACAAGCTACCCAATGCTTATCGTGTCGCTAGCCCTAAATCACATTCAAATTCGATGTTATTTATTCTGGCTTCACATATGTGATACGTCCTAGCTTGGACTGCTTTCGAGTAGAAGTTAAGTACATGACTCATTAAACTTATTAGAACTACATTCATTGCATTGTTTGGTGTTTGACTTTTTGGAAGGGGAGTAAACGTGGTAGTAAGCCAATCTTTTGCGATGTAACAGTGGGTCCATGTTTTCTTCTTCTGTTAATGTAAGCATTTAAAAGTAGATACCGTTAAGGAGTTACATCATTCGAACGTGTATCTTTTAGTCTCTACCTAGTGCCTGGGTGACAATCCATTGTGTCTTCTTCAGTATAGGGCCTAGGATTCCTTGCCTTGAGTTCTCTCGATAGAAAAAAAATCGTTGTAGGAGATATATAAGCTGTCAATGAACCGAGAGTAATTTTTAAAATCTTCGGAGCAGTAAGAAGCAACAGCAGAGGTTTTAACGTTCTCTGGATTTTTTTTTAGGAACAATGCGGATCCCTATACTTTTAGATATGATCTTGGTGTATATTGTAGTATTTTGATGCGGAGTGGGAATTGCCCCCGTTTTTCCTTTAGATCCGCACCTGAAGTAAATGGTACTACCCGCCGCAATTACAGCGGCACTGCGTCAGGCGTTGAGCACCTAAGAACAGGAAACGCCGGTTGCGTCGCCGTTTGGCGTTCGCACACCGTACCACACACCACACACTTGATCGCAGTGGGCGATGTGTGTGCATATGCCGCCCCCTCGATCGAATGTTCATTGATACAACGCACACACGGTCGCAGCGGGCCGCACGCCGTTCAGTTGTTTCATTCATGGTTCTGTGGATACGCACACGCGGCGCGGCAGGCGGCAGGAGAAAGGCGGCTGTGGCAGAGACGGCGGCGGTTGTCAACCAGACAAATGCACCTTGCACATATCGGAAAACCGCCGGCAGCCTACGGACATACAGGATGTTACGTTACGGGTGTGAGCTGTTCGAAAATGCAAACAGGTCTGATCCAATAGATACGTACCAAAGAGCGAATCTGATAGCTCTACTTCCAAAGTACTTAATTAGAAAATCAGCAGAGCGAAGGCTAATGCATTCATCAAGATCTTTGTAGTCAGCTTACCAATAGTCGTCTCGAGCCTGTCGTCCCTCAACCTACATTCATACCAGGGACACTCCCACACTATGAGAGAAATAACCTTCAGGCCTAAAGTTGTGATTTACTGAAGTTCCCGCATTGTGTGTCATTACTGTTAGCATGTATGTATATGACTTGTAATTCGACAGTGTATGTGAATATAATTATATCTTATCTCTCGTTTTTAAATTTCTGCAAATTTGCATATGTTATTTCCAGAATAGATAAGAAAAAGTGGATGCGCAACTAATTTCTAGCTATGAATCTTACTATGCACCTATGCAGTGCCGTTTCCTTCTAGCTGTAGTATACAACTTACAGCTTAGACCTCCAGTAATGCCATCTCTGAAGCAGATTTTACATCACATCCAAAGCCAGACATGATGTTTAGGCAACACGTACAACTACAAAACGAGTTCACAACAAGTGTCCATCAGCTAGTGCTAAGTTAACATCTTGTAGAAAAACCTACATAATTTCACTTTTCGAGATACGTAATACCCGTGTCGGAGTCAATTCTAGTTTTTTATCAAAATTCATGCATGCGCCTGTATTTATAATTCTTTAGTATTATCACTTAAAGGGTATTATATGAACTCTGGACATCAAACGCTCCCTTATTAGCTATGTTTATCACTATTTATTAGTTCCTATCACTATAGCTTCCAACCGGAGGCGTTCGTGACCGCTCGCATAGCTAACTCATTCTGTCCCATAGAAACACAGCAGTGCACAACAAAAAACACCTTCGTGTTCAGAGACTATAGTCTTTCGCTCGTAGCACTCAATCCTTTCATGCACATAATCGTCTCATATCCTTATAACTAAACTATTTTTTTTATACTTCTGACTCTTAAGAATTAATGATAAGATGTATAATCATTTACCCACAGAGCTCAGGAAAACTACCAACGTTTACCTTCTCAAGGTCGATCTGAATAGATATCTTGTTGACAAGTGCCCTCGCACTCTAGCTGACTATTTTTTGACTAAAATTGTATACCGATTCATTATATGTAATACTTTTGTGTACCATGGTTTAAATGCATCTTAAATGTGACTGCTTAAGTGTCTTGGTTTCATGTACCTTTATGATTGTTTGTGTATTTGTATATTTTATCTATTTATACATTTAGAGTGGATTTTACAATTTAACAAACCATTATCCAAAAAAATTAAATACCTTGGGAATATATTGACAGAAAAATATCTTCGAACATTATACTGATTACACTGATTGAGCCTCATCTCACATATGGTATATTAGCATGGGGAGCTGCATGTTTCTCACATATCTATAATTTAGATGTTTTTCAAAAGAGTATTCTAAAAATGGTATTTAAATAACCGAAACTTTATTCCACTGACAAATTATACGCAGATGTTCGAATGTATGATATAAGACAGCTTTATTTCTTACACAGTATCACTCACTACCATAAATTTGTAAGCACCGACCAAAAAATTAAACATAATCATTATACAAGGTACAATATTCATGGCACAGTAGTTCCTCAGTCGCATAAATCTATAATGCAGCGGTCATATCTCTAATTAGGGCCAAAATTTTATGAAATTATACCTAAAGACTTAAAAGATTTACGTTTCGGAAATTGTTTCAAAAGAAATTTAAAAAAGTGGCTACATTCTATATCTAGGACTGAAATTCATAAACTCATAAATACGAACATCAAGTAAATACATAATCTACTGTAGTAAATTTTTGTTATTTGCATTCTACAGTTGCAACTTAAAATTATTGGTTCATGTACAGGCGATGCCTTCTATTGGGCCTGTTTTGATTTTAAATTTATTTACTTATATTGTTTGTTATCTTTGTACATTTATTGAATAAATAATATTATTATTATTCTGCACCAATAGGGTACGAGTACCAAACAGTCCGTTAGATATACCCAATCAGCCTCAAGATCTCTCCGTCAATTCTTTGGCAGCAAATAGCATCAAAGTATTCAAAACAAAACACTGTAAAATATGAAGTGACAGCTTGTCATTGAAGTCTTTTCAGTTTATTAAATACTATGAAATTATGTAAAACTGAAACAAAATTTAAAAAAAATGCTTGATGTATGAGTAAAATCCATTTTTTTTAGTTTAGCTGAAGGTTTTTCCATATTTTATTGCAACTTTTGTAATCCGTATGTGATTATATCACCTACCTTGTGTTTATAGTCTATCCTACATTTGCATACTTACACTTCCAAATATGTATGTATGTATGTAATTCTGCACAAAAAAATCTTGGAGGGACACTTTTTATATGGAAATTTGTTGTTAAAAACTCTCATTTTGCACAAATAACAGAACAAGTGACCACAAAACATGGAATACAGTGACGTTGGAGAAGGAGAATAGACCAAAGAAAATCGGAATTGACATTTGAAATTAGTGTCTCATAATGTTAGTGATGGGAGAATACATTTGCGATCAGTGGAGTTGGTTAAAAGGTATGGATTGAATCGTTTTTACGTTATCTCGGCTGAAAGACTGGAATATCTGCTCTGTTTCTGTATATATATATTTTTTGTGGTATTGTTGCATAAAGTTGTTTTTTCACGAACCAGTTCCTAGAACTGAACGCAACTTAATGAAACGAACTAGAAAGCACATCAGTATTTCAAGTAATCCAAGGCACAAATTGTCATTTTATCACACTAGTGATGGGAGAATCGAAAGCCTGAGATTCGTTTTGCTGCTGTGGCTCAGAGATATAGTGTTTTCTTCTGATAAAACTAGCGCAGTTTTTGTTTAAAATACTCTACCCTAGTTAATACTTTTGATCCTAAATTTGCTCCCAAAACAACATTAAACAACTCTCATATCGTGTCTCTCAATGAAGCATATTATTCGTTTTTTTGTCCTTTTCCGTGTTACTGTGATGAATCATCGAAAAAAAATAATAGAAAACCATGAGCAAACAGCACGGCTGCATTCAAAGATGGAAATCGAAGCAGAAGACAGTAGACAACACCAGCTCTCGAGTTGCTTCAAGTTCTGTATGTTTCTACAATGAGTGAAAAACTAGTTCAAAGTGCGCACCAAAAAACTACGAATATATAAATTGGTTCTGTTATAAGAATTTGGAATATGAACCAGTCCAACACTGGCTTCACTGAAAGAAAACGCGATTGAATAGGTTGGTAATATTTAACAGGTTACACCACACAAGGCTGATTTCAGTAGCTTCTATTTTGGCCACTTTTTCCGTTATAATCTCATCTTTCATTCTGGAGATTTTTAAATCTTTCAAAGATTTTTCAGACCTTTGGATGTTCTAGAAATCCGAAGTATCCGATCAGTATGATTAAAATGTCCCATTACTATCCTAGTCGCGACTGAGTGATGTGTCATCTGGACAAAACAACACTGTTGCCAGACTTAGCGACTTTTGTATGCTTTAGAGATTTTGTTTCTCCGCTTGTCCGCTGGCGATTTCCAGCAACATTTTTGGCTACATTGGTAATTTCATTAAAGTTCACATTTTTTACACTTAAAGTCTTTTCAAGTGCCGAATGCAACTAGTGATTATGTTCCCCAGCCAACATGCAATGGAAGTAGGAAGCTTCTACTGTAGTACATTTTTTTTTGTACCGAAGCAGCCGGGTCTGTATGGCAGGCACATCGCGCGGCGGCATCATGGAAGAGAACTCTGAGGAGCAAAGCCCATTGGTGTAGCGGTAGAAGAAAACTTGACCGCCGGTATGAAAGGGTCCAGAGACCGTTTGTTAGAGTAGAGTCATCGATCAGTCGGACAGCCCTTCTCTGGACAACATCGAGCATAGACAATATGGTCGGGGCGGCGGCACCCCAAACGTGTGAGCAATACTCGATGCTAGGTCTTTTCTGGGCCTTGTGTAGAATGAGAATGTCATGCGGAAGTACTTCTTAGCCCTAAACAAATAGCCTAGCTTGTTCCCAGCAGCTGCCGCTACTGACAAGATGTGTTCGTGCCAGATCAGGTCCTCGGTGATCTGGACTACGACCAGCCGAAATGAATGGCTCTTTGGCAGTACCCGGCCATCCATCGGAACCGTATGAGCTCTAGGACGCTTTTTGTTGGTCACGGTACAGTACTGTGTTTTGGAAGCATTACAGGAAGTCGTCGCTAATCTTCTTTTTTCCAGCTCAGCTGCAGAGATCGGCTTGTCACTCCTGCATGTAGAGTGCTGTTATCAGCGGAGCTGTGGATTGGGTTGTTCGTGCAGGAAAGGAGGTCGTTGATATGCAAGGAGAACCGTGTCGGAACACCCGCGTTGAGTTGACCTTGCGGGATGAAGGGGAGATCCCGACAATTACGACGGATACCTTGCGGCCACAGAGAAAGTCAGCTACCCATCTGCAAAGCTTTTCTTGGGGGTCATGGGATGGAAATTTGCATAAGGGAGCAGCGTGCCACAGTTGATTAAACGCTTTCGTGATATCAATACCAACGACATACGCCTCACCGTAATACTGGATTAGCTTACTTCACAATTGCGTGACGTAAGCTAGGAGGTCCCCTGTAGATCGCTGGTGTCGGAAACCATACTGCCTGTCGCTAATCAAGCCGAGACGTTCGAGGTCGTCCAGAAGCTCGCGATTTATGCACATCTAGTCACCTTACTTATAACAGAAAGCAGAGCTATAGGCCTGCAGTTGTAAGGATCGGTTTTAGATTCTTGTTTTGGGATGAGTTGGATATGAGCAAACTTACAGTTTTCTGGATTCATAAGATATCTGGAAGAGTCGCGAAAGAACTGGAGCAAGCTCCGCTGCACACCTCTTCAGTACAATCAAGTCCGGACCAGAAGCTTTGTTCTCTTCAGCCTTGGCCTTTGAGTCAGTTACAATCGTTCCATCCTGCCACTTAGGAGGTGGAAGGCTACTGTGTGAGAAGTTCTTTTCAATCTACTTGGCCAGCGCCCAGAAAGACCGACTGCCATTTGACTGCGACATTTTCTTGCCAAATCAGACATATCTTGTGAAGTTAGTGAGTTTCAGTTCATACGTTGTTACCAGGCATGCCCAACCCAACTAACAATTATCACTCCTATTAGAGTTGCAAGAATGATTATACAGTATTCCTTACACAGCATTGTATACTGTAAGAACATTGGCAAAACCCTCTTAGAACAGCTATACAAGCCGAATGGGCACACCTAATAGCACACTTCAGTCATTTAAGAGGTTGTATAAACGCTGCAGGTAACAGTTATACAACCAAAGTGTAAGCCTTTGCAGCCGCTGTAGAACATTTGCGTCAGTGCAAGATTCAGTTTTTGTCAACTATACAACTATTTTGTTACGTGATTCTACTTTATTGCAACCAAACTATTTCTTATGTATTGTATAGACGAAGTGAAGAATATACAACTAACACATTACAGTCATATTGTTTACTTACATATCGGCCATTGTGAATTTCATACACAGGTATATGATAAACTTCTACACTGTGATGTAGGGCTATTGAATTACTTGCGCAGCAAATTTTATTGTGATTATCGTGCAAAGTAGTTACGCAATTTCTACGGGCTTCGTATTTGATTCATATTTTAATAATGATCAAAAGTATGCCTAGATTTTTAAGATGGAAAACTGTACTTATCTTCGTTAAATCTTCCACAAATCCTATATTTGGACACAGCTACACTAATGTTTCTCACTTTATATTCGTAATTTCGAACTGAAACATAATTATTTAATATTAAATAGAGGAGTAAATGTTTACCCAATATGCCGGGTGTTTATGTATAATCATGGCATCGTACATGTTGTCTTTGGTTTATTAGAATATTTTGGTGTTGCCTGCAGGTGTTATACAACAATTTGACAAATGTCTGAAATGAAATACAGACAGAGTTGAATGATTTACCCAGAATTTGGACCAGATCTATATCTTCTGTTTAAACAGTTGATAAAACCTTTTGGACCAATATGCATGCGTTGCTTGTCTTAAAACATTGGCTATGGCATTTTAACAAAAATATGACTGCAGAAAGTTAGGTTATGGTGAAGTTGTATACCAACATATTTAACAACAGATGTATGCTGAGCACAGCAATTTTGTACTACAAAAGTTGTAATATTGTTGCATATGTACAGCCTTTAACAGTGACTAAACAACAGTTGTATAAGTGATTCCGTTGGGAGCAATTTGTTGGCTAAAGTAGTAAATTTGCACAGCAAAACAACAAGGCACGGGTTTGTTTTATAAACGTTACCATGGATGCCACAACACAACCATTTTGACTACCGTGCACATATGCCGTACAAAATACACAACATTAAGCCAGCATTTTGGTGTTCAGGCAACAACAATAGAGAGCTTTTATGGCTGAACGGTTCTTTTACCAAAAGCTTATAGCACTACTTTGCTAGTTGGGAAATCGTCAGTTGCTGCCGTGATATTCATCCTGACCACTGCATCCCACGGCTATACGACCTGTATGTTAAATATATGTTGATAGGGCAGCGGATTATGCTATAACTCATATGTCACATTTTTTGTGCACTGATTGCAATGGTTAGATGGTACCAAAAATATTGTCATAAATAGGAAATCTTTCCCATTCCGGATCGAACAATCTACCAAAGATGATTATAATCATGATACCTAGTAAATTTTCATGGAAAATCCACTGTACGTAGGTATATCAGAACTTTCTTATATTTGTTCAACAATTTGATGACACAGCACATCTGCCAAAGATGATCATAATCAGGATAGTAAACTATAACGAAGGTCCACTGTATGTAAGAAATTTCAGATACCTCGTTTGCAATTTGAAGATACAACAGGCCGTGATGGTGTTCACACTTTTCAAATATTCTTCAAGAAGTGATACCAGTCTAGCTCCAACTATATCATAAGTACTATGTTTGAGTTCTTACTTTAAATTCAAAACCAGCAAATTAATGTAAAAGATTCATTTCGCAACCTCGACCACGCGACGTGATCGCCGTTAGACTTGGCAACCCTGCGAGTGACAGACAGGTATCCCCGCCAGTCGAAAAGGCAGTCGAACAAAAACCATATTAGGTTTTACGATTTTGACGTTAAAAGACATTTGTGAGAAATTTTTCATCTTTTTTTGTCTATGTCCATAGTAATTGCATTATGCATCATGGAGATGTAGGGATTGACACGTCTTACACATATTATCTGTGTTTTAGGATGGAGAGGACATAATGTTTTTATTGCTTTGAAGAAATTCATTAACCCATAAATGAATAAATGATTACTATTATGATGTAAAGGAAGATGAGGAATTGGTTGGAATGTATTTTATATTCTATTTAATTGCAAAATACAGACAAATCCACACTATCAACAGGTATGTAGC